AGGCTAACTGGTGGTTTCTCTAGCGAGGGAACCACCTGTTGGACAGGTAGGCCTGTTGATCCGCATAGGTTAGATAGGCTAACTGGTGGATTCTCAAGCGAGAACCACGTGTCGGACAGTAGCCTGTTGTTCCAACAGGTTAACTAGGCTAACTGGCTGATTCTCTAGCGACTGAACCATGTGTCGGACAAGTAGGCCGGTTGATCCGGTTGATCCGCACAGGTTAACTAGGCTAACTGGCGGATTCTCAAGCGAGGGAACCACATGTCGGACAGCTGGGCCGGTTGATCCACACAGGTTAAGTAGGCTAACTGCCGGTTTCTCTAGCAAGGGAACCACATATCCGATAGGTAGCTGGTTGATCACACACAGGTTAACTAGGCTAACTGGCGTTTCTCTAGCGAGGGAACCACGTCCGGACAGGTAGGCTGGTTGATCTGCACAGGTTAACTAGGCGAACTGGCATTTTCTTTAGCGAGGGAACACATATCCGATAGTAGGCTGTTGATCCACACAGTTGAACTAGGCTAACTGGCGGTTTCTCTAGCGAGGGAACCACGTGTCGGATAGGTAGGCCGGTTGATCCGCACAGGTTAACTAGGCTAACTGGCGGATTCTCTAAGCGAGGGAACCACGTGTCGGATAGGTAGGCCGGTTGATCCACACAGGTTAACTAGGCTAACTGGGTGGATCCTTTAACGGGGAACCACATATCTGATAGGTAGGCCGGTTGATCCGCACAGGTCAACTAGGCTAACTACGGATTTCTCAAAGCGAGGGAACCACGTGTCGGACCGGGGTAGGCCGGTTGATCCGCAAGGTAACCTAGGCTAACTGGCAGACACTTCTAGCGAGGGAACCACATATCCGATAGGTTAGCCGGTCGGTTGATCCGCACAGGTTAACTAGGCTAACTGGTGGTTTCTCTAGCGAGGGAACCACGTGTTGGACAGGTAGGCCGGTTGATCCGCACAGGTTAAATAGGCTAACCTAACTTTACTTTCCCTACTCTAACCTGACCAAAATAATCTCAAACAACTAATGGAACCTAATTACATCCAGTTATCTAAGCAATCCAAAATAACTAATTGCACCTAATTACATCCAATTTGTTATCTAAATCCAAAATAAACCTAATTACATTAACTTTACTTTCCACGCTCGGACGATCTAAACATTCTAAATCAACAATTACACTTAATATTATTACACCTCATCCAAAATGCCTAATTATGCCTAATTATATCCAATTTATTATCTAACCAATAGAGAATTAATTTAATATCTAAAAAAAAAAAGAGAGAAATAAACCTCACCCAGGTAGTTGTGTGAGACGGCCATCTCCTCAACGTAGATGTTTGTTGCTCCGGCCGGTATGAGGAAGATGTCGTTGTAGCCGACCGTTAAAATCTCTTTCGTAAAAGTTCCCTTGATTGTGTTACAGGTCGATCCGTCGCCGCCACAGATTCGACACTTGTCCTCCTTGGCCGTCGAGCCGAGCTTGCGGTCGCATCCGATTGGCTGGTTTGAATAGGGAGAGAGAAGGAGAGGCTTGTGATTGGCTGGTTTGAATAGGGAGAGAGAAGGAGAGGCTTGTGATTGGCTGGTTTGAATAGGGAGAGAGAAGGAGAGGCTTGTGATTGGTTGGTTTAGAAGGATGGCAAGAGAAGGGGGCGAGTTAAGAGGAAGGGATGTGATATGATTGGCTGGTTTGAATAGGGAGAGAGAATGAGAGGCTTGTGATTGGTTGGTTTAGACGGGTGGCAAGAGAGGGGGCGGGGTTAAGAGGAAGAGATGTGATATGATTGGCTGGTTTAGACGGATGGCAAGAAAGGGGGCGGGGTTAAGAGGAAGAGATGTGATATGATTGGCTGGTTTGAATAGGGAGAGAGAAGGAGAGAGATATGATTGGCTGGTTTGAATAGGGAGAGAGAAGGAGAGGCTTGTGATTGGTTGGTTTAGACGGATGGCAAGAGAGGGGGCGGGGTTAAGAGGAAGAGATGTGATATGATTGGCTGGTTTGAATAGGGAGAGAGAAGGAGAGGCTTGTGATTGGTTGGTTTAGACGGATGGCAAGAGAGGGGGCGGGGTTAAGAGGAAGAGATGTGATATGATTGGCTGGTTTGAAATTGGGAGAGAGAAAGGAGAGGCTTTGTGATTGGTTGGTTTAGACGGGTTGGCAAGAGAGGGGGCGGGGTTAAGAGAAGTAGATGTGATATTGATTGGCTGGTTTGAATAGAGAAAGAGGAGATATACTTACCAATACATGCATATATATCACCATACCCATCCCCCTCAACCCTAACCCATCACTACTCCACCATAACACCTACCTCAACACCATAAAGCCAACCCCCACGTCACCTACCAACACCAACAAATACCACACCCACAACCACCAGCCCACCACCACCACCCCTCCTTCACACATAACCGCCCCTGCTCACCATACTACCAATAAACACCATATACCACCTGTCACAGACCGCTGCTCACCCTTTCCCCGTGATTCCTCACCCTCACCTTCCCCAATCACCGGTCCCACTCCCAAACCATCATCACCATAGCTTCCTCACTTCATATAATAAAACAACCAGCCCATAGGTCCAACCAGACGCGAGGGCCCTACCCCGTCAATCATCAGGGGGGTCGGTCATATCCAACGACTGACGACCTTCACAGCTTCATGAACCGCCGCACACTAGGCAGGTAATGCCTACATGAGAAGATATCTTAAGTCAAATCCCCCCCGCGCTCAACCGCATAGATAACTGACATATGGAAATAAAAAAAATAAATACAAGTGATGAACCCACCCCATCATCATAACCCACGCCAGTAACACCCCCCCTACCATAAAAAGAAACACCACCACCCAGAGGTACCCATCTCCACCCCCTTTCACCATACCCCATCATTTTCACCTAACTACTCACACCATACCCTTCTCCCCCTCCACCGCCCCAGGGTCACCTATACCTCCCCCCCCTCCACTCCCATCCCATCACCATAACTTCACCATAACAGCCGCCCATGCCAGCAGACGGGGGCGCCCGTCATCATCACAGGGGTGTCCCAATCCAACGAGACCTTCCAGTGGCCTGCTGTAGTAGAACTCTGCGCCCAGGGCTGGCAGTTCAGCTCGCACTTTTGGGTTGCGGCTTTCAGTAGGGGACCCACTGTTGGGAGGAGAGAGAGAGAGAAATTAGGTAAAGAGATTTGGAGAGAATGAAAAAGATAAAGGGAGAGAGAGAGAGAGAGAGAAATTACGTTAAAGAGAGAAATGGAAAGAGATAAAGATAAAGGGAGGGAGAGAGAGAGGTGGGGTGAGTGGTGCTTCAGGTAGGGGACCCAGCTGCAGGAGGGAGAGAAGAGAGAAATTAACGTTAAAGAGAGAAAGGGAAAGAGAGAAAGGGAAAGAGATAAAGATGGAGAAGAAAGGGTAGGAGGGGGGGGAGAGAGAGAGAGAGAGAGAGAGAGAGAGAAATTAGGGGAGGGGGAGGAGGGAGAGAGTAGAGAGGTGGGGTGGAGTGGTTGCTTCAGGTAGAGGGACCCCGCTGCAGGGAGGAGAGAGAGAGAGATGATTACGATAAAAGAGAGGAGAGATTGAAGAAGAAAGGGTGGGGAGGGAGAGAGAGAGAGATGAGAGGGAGAAATTAGGGGGTAGGGGGGACCAGCTGTTGGGGGGGGAAGAGAGAATTACGTTAAGAGGAGAAAGTGGAAGAGAGAAAGATAAAGGGGGAGGGAAAGAGATAGATGAGAAATTTAAGTTAAATGAGAGAAAAAGGGATGAGATAAAAGATAAAGGGAGGGAGAGAGAGGAGAGAGAAATTAGCTACGGTTAAGAATAAGATGGAGAGAAAGGGTGGGAGGGAGGAGGGAGGGAGAGGAGAGAAATGAGGATAACGAGATGGAAAGATGATGAAGATAGGAGAGATAAAGGGGGAGGGAAGGAGGGGGGGGACCCAACTGTAGGGAGAGAGAGAGAGAGAGAGAGAGAAATTAGGGGGAGGGAGAGGGAGGGAGGA